GGGGTTGGGATCCGTAGCCGGACCCGGAAAAAAAAAAAAAAAAAAAAAAAAAAAACCAACCATATCATAAGTTGATGCGTGAAAGCCTGAGGATATTTGTATTAGGCACTCTAATTCAACACTAAAATCCTCAATTTGCAGGATGAGAGAAACAGAACAAAAATGCTAAATTTTGTTTTCCATCCTTAACCATAATAAAGGAAATCAAGTATGATCTGCCACCACAGAAGAAAGAAATGATCTCCTTGTCTTGAAAAACTATGTGAGGCATTTTTCATCTTTGGTGTGCACATGGAACTCAAAACAGACTCAGGGAACACGGCATAGACCCAGAACCGTCATTTTGCTTCTCTGCGCATCTTTTTGATTTCATGTGCATCTACGCTAATTCTGTCTCTCCAGCCTATCATTTAAGCCATAGCAGGGCAGATGTGCTGTTTTACGGGACCCTAATCCACTTGGTGGGCAGATAATCAAGAGGCCTTTGGTCTTCATCATTTACTCCAATAAGAAAAGTAGACGATTGCCTTGTAAAACAGCATGTGACCCACGCCCCATCTCCATGTAATGCTAACCTACGGCACCTCCTTGGAATGTCTAACCAAATTCATCAAACTCATCAGGGTCACAGAGATGGTCAAAATTAGCTCTAGGCTGAATGAAATGAGACAAAGACCAATCTGGGTATATAAATAGTAAAAATGAGAGGGTTGGGAAGTGACTTACAGTACAGGATTTTAGACCACACAGGTGTTCACATGAATCAGATGCATCGTTCCAAGGCTGAGAAGTTTAGGCACTAGTGGTGAAACTTCTAATACTAGTAGGCTTTTAAATCTCTCATGATTGAAAGTTAAATTCTAAAGTCATTGCTAAGGATTCCCCGCTAATTTTTTTTTTACCTTCATCCTACGTATAACCCTCAGTTACTACTCCATAGCCCTCATTGTGAGAGGCCAGCACACCTATCCCGAAAGCCTTGAGTAACGACCGCATTGACTGTCGAGAGCGGCATCTGTGCAGTCCAGAGGTGCGCTGCAGTACGTGCCAATGGGCCAACAGCTGTAAGGACGAGGACTGCTCCGGCCCACCTCCAGGTCACAAAAGACCACCCGCTCCCCACTCACACCAGCACCCTTGCCAACACATACCAGGAAGGAGAGTTAAGATGAAGGGCTGTGACTGTCAGCATCAAAAAGAAGTGATTAAAAGAACATCAATAGCCAGACATTAACGTCGGGTTCTGCACATGCTGCCTTTCGTCCATTGAGTTTTTCTTTTTCTGATGCGCTAAAGAACCTGCCTTGTTATTGATGTGTGGATCTTCAATGAAGGTTTGAAGTCCTGAGACCCAAGTATTAGCCCCAGCTCTAATTTTTCCTTAGTCACGTGACCTTGGAAGGTCATTTAACTCCCCTGGGCCTCAGTTACCTCAGCTAGAACAGGGCTTAGGTCACATGACACAATAAGTATTTGTAGAAGGTTTTAAAAAACCTGTAAAATGGGCGCATAAAAGGAGATCTCAGAGATGCCTTCCAGTCTCAACATTCAACAGACCTCAGATTTTTTGCTACAGACTTACATCCCTGGGTCATTCTAATCGTCTTTTCCAAGTGTGCCCCAACAGACTAATCTCTTTTTACCCGGCACAATCCTATCTTGCATTTTCTCATCACCTTACATTGTCACCCCTCAATTATGTTACAGCAAGGAGGAAGCATTTTGCCATCAACAATTTTTTAAAATAATCAGTTGCCTGAACATATTATTGCTTTTAAAGCCCTATGCAATATTTCAAAAACCATAGAGGGAAGTACTTAAATTTTCCTTCCATAGGTGTTATCTGCTTGATTTCAAGAGTTAAATGAACAGTTTCCCATATCTTGTGTCTGATGTGTTTTTTCTCTTCATTAAAATGCTGAAGGGTTTTTTTCCTCCTCTTTAGGAGCAAAAAAGAAATCTCTCCCCTGCAATTTACTTTGGCTTTCTCAAAAGTTGGGTAGCAAAGTCAGTTTAATTCAGGTGGAATCTAAAATGTTCTTGTTGTACAAGTGTGCACAGAAAGGAAGCCTATAATTTCTGAGCATTCTTTCAGGAAGTTCGTATTCTCTGTTTTCCAGGGAGCCTTTACTTTCCAAGGGAGTATGATCGACATGCCATTACTGAAGCAGGCCCAGAACATTGTTACGCTTGCCACATCCATCAAGAAAAAATGATCTGTTAAATGAAGCTCTCATCAGGTGGGCTGAACATATACAGTGGGTTTCTTAAAGACAAACCATAATACTCAAGGCAACTTGTTAGTGTGCCAGACTGGGACCTCACTCCATTTATAGTTCATGTTAATCATGATTTTTTTGTTTTGTTTTATTTATTTCTTTACTGGCCAGTTATTCCCTAAAAATGAACTTTCTTCCTTTGGGGTCCAAGCTTATGATTTTATTGTTGTTTACTAATGTATTAAAATTTGGACTTATGATTTCACAGGGAGATAAAATCTTGGGGAAGATGGGCTGTGAAGGGAATTTAGGTCTTCAATGAAACAGATCCTTCCCGAATACATATACTCCCTCCACCTTTTTCATGTTAGTGTTTCCTACGTTGTTCATTTGTATAGCTGACACCATAAATAATTTTAAGAAAGGCCAGGCCTTTAAAAAATAATAAAATTTAGAAGCCCTATCAATTTCACTAGTAATCTGATAAAAATCACACAGATGGCATAAAAAAAAGTTATTAAGTATTGTATTGGCTTATAATGATATCTTCTAAAAATGGACTTTCAAAACTCACTGCTATTCACCTTCACTCCCAGAATGAAACATCCATATCCTTGAATGTCTAGATGGTGAATCCAAAAGCTCCCATCTGGGTAAATGCTTTGGGTCAACAGTTGCCGGCAATTAAAAAATAAATGTGCAGAAACACAAGGCCATCCATTCTCTTCTTTTATTTCCCCATTTAACTGTTTGCCATTGAGCCCATTTCCCCCTGTAAATGTATGGCTGGGACAGGACTCCCTCAGCCATAAACTTGTAGCGTCTAGGAAGACACAATGCCACCAAGCTGGTGCATATGGCCCCCTGTGAGATTTGCATGACATTAGAGATGCTGCTACAGGTCATATGGGTGGTGTGGTTAACGGGCTTAGTAAAGCTGTTTTGAAGAGGTTAACCCAGCCTGTAGTAAGGGTAAATAAACATAACAACCAGCCATTGTTCCCTATTCAGCATGTACTCTTATATTGAAGGCTAAAGGGTATTGAAGCCGCGGAGGATCAACTTGTGCTTGCCAGAGGACGCCAATGAAGTTTGAAACACCAACAATCAGAGATTTTGTTTCTGTTCCTCATTAAATCATGAGCTTTTGTGTTGAGACTTTGGATGACTGTTCTTTAAGAAATTAACAGAATGGGAAGTTTTAAACTCTACACCAACCTTTTCATGACCTACACAGCAGCAAGGCTGCTACTCTTAGACAAACACCGCGGGGAAGGCTGTTCTGTTTATTTAAATTTGTAAATAGAAAACAGTTGTTTTTTATTTTCATGTTTCACCTCCTCCTACGCCCTTTTTGCTTATTTCCTACGTGGCCCCCAGTGTGTGCCCCAACCAGGGGTCTTCTTTTCCCCACTTCCAGTCCTGCAGGAAGCCCTAGAGGTGAGTAGCGTTGAAGGTTAGATACAGGGAAAGACACCACCATCGCACCAAAGCAAAGTCCGAGAGTCCCACCCCCGTCATGCAGCCCTCACCCACCCCAGTGTGCAGCAGGAAAGGGAAGGGAAGATCCAGTTCCCACAGGCACATGGAAGGAACCGGATCCAGGCAGGACGGTCCTGGGGAAATGCATTCTTGAGACACTAACTAATATTCTCAAACAAGGAGACAGCTCTTAGACTGAGATGGGACACACTAGGCTGGTGTCCCACCTGCCTTGGGTAGTGTGTCCTCCCTGACCTCTCGTTAGAGCATTGTCACCCTTCAATTTGGTCTCCTTGTGCTGCCCCAGAGTTGGTGGAAAGGAGGGGGAGCTAGCCCCATCCTCGCTCAGAGGGCCGGAAGAAGGAAGATGGCCTGTCGCCAACTTCAGCGATGACTGGCCTCCAGCCAAACTGTGCTTCAGGACTACGGACAGGGACAGTGGGCAGCAGCTACTGGAGAACCCCCCAGCCCCCGTCACTGCAGCTGTGTCCCCCCAGGCTGGGAATCATGGAGTCAGTGTGCACGAGGAAACCAGACCAGGGGAGCCACCCTGTCTGCCCCTCTGCTCAGAACATAGGGACAGGAGGGCTGCTGGGAAGTCACAAGGCAAAAAAGGAAGGCCTCCTCATTTTGACCCTGCCATACCTTCTAACACACACTCAGGGTGTTAGAAGAAGCAATGGCAGTGACTACTGGAAGCGAAGAGGAAAATAGAATCTGCCTTCGCCCTCGCCTGCTGCAGCCTGCACTTCAGCCTAACGCCCCTTCATCCTTGTGTCGATCCAGATAACCCCTCGCCTTTGAGGGGACCTTCTAGTCTCCATCCCAGTTACACAGGCAGCCCCCAAACCTATACTGGTGGCCCTCTTCAAGCCCAGGGGCTCACCTAGAGCCACGCTCTCCCCCTGCAGGTGCCCCAAGTGCCAAGCTGAAGGCACTGGGACCTCCGGAAAGGCAAGCCCTGCGCAAGTCTCTGGGTGGTGCTGAGAACCAGACCTGGCTAGGTCTCCCGACCCCCATCAGCAACAGGCCTGCGGGTTCCTAGATTCCCAGCCATGTTGGACAGCTCACTACACCCCTATCCCAAACTGTACTTTGTTCAAACAAAACCACCTTGTTGTTTAGGTTTCCCCAAATGTCAGGTTTATCATCTTGCTCATAACCCAGGGGTCCCAACTGTGGTAGAATCATGAGACTGGGACCCAGCCAAAAATCTGGATCAAGTCCCCACTCTCTGAACCAAGACCGTAAGGAGGGCCCCAGAAGACAGTTCAGTCATGGTCAGAGACCCATTGTGCCTCGTTCCTGGAAGAACAAAACTCCAGGACAAGGAGATCCTGGGAGACAGAAGGTATCCCCCTCTTCTCCCACTGCATCTCTGCGGTGCCGTGGGGGTGGGGGGTGAAGGTACTGGGAATGTGGGAGGCAGCGAGGGCTGGGCGGGCTGATGGCCACGTGCACACCGGGAATGCCCATCCTGGGGACATGAGCTCTGCCCGGCTCCCCTGCATTAGGAATGGACGACAGGAAGAGGAACTTGCAGCTAATCTGATTAATTAAAAACCATACCTATTTATATTTTGTGTAGCTCATCACAAGCCAGTTCGCCATATCGCCCCCCTGTTATTAATTCTTGGGGGCTAAATTATGGATAACACTATTAAAACATTATCAGAACTAATGAGAAACAATTACTTAGAAAATGAGCCGGGACAAGATTGAGTTGAGAACATCAGTGGTGATCACCGTAGATTAGTTTAATAAATCATCAGGTGCAAGGCAAGACTGGCTGCATGTATGCAAAGCCCCGTCACGCGAAAATGAAATTGAGATTTTTTTTTTTTTTGCATAATTTTTTCATTAATCTCAATAGGACCCGTGTGGTGTAGATTGCTTTATTCCCCTAATACCTTGCCTGGGGGGGGGGCAATAATGTCTTCATTGTTTTACTGAGGTCTTAATGACAATCGGTGACAACCTCATTTTAATGTATAGAGGATTACATCAATACTGTCATGTTTTATTGAAATGGTGAGGGGGACTCGGTCCGAGCACGAGTTGGGAAGTTCCCGGCATCGGGGACCCTTCCCTTCAGATGGCCAAGTGTGGACCCCCCCGCCTGCCGTCACCTCCTCTCCTCCAGGGACGGCTGAGAACACAGTGTCCTGTCGAATGAAGACTTCGCCACCTCCGGTTTGAATTTGAAAGTAACTCGTTGCCCGGCATAGTTTGCTGGGTAAACAGAAAAACCATGTAGTTTTCCTCCGGCTCTAAAACAGACGTGGTATCCACACCTGTGCACCCAGTAGTGCTGCGGGAGGTCGGGAACTGGCTTTCTTAGAGACACTGAATTTTCTAACGATGCCACAAGAAGGAAAAGAACACAGGCTTTTTTATTTCAGGGACATTCTGCTTTTATGGTTTCGTTTTGCCTTAGAGAGCTGACTCTAACGTTTTTATTTTTCCCTCTAGTCCTAAGAAGGCAACTGATGGTACGAAACAGGTTATAAAGTCACCAGGAGGACGTGTGCATATGAATGCTGGCGAGGGTCCCCGACGGCCCGTGGCCGCGCGGCTTGTGCCCGGGCTCTGCGACACGGGCGTCCCCGACGTTTTCACGTTGCTCCGTAGGGGGAAGGTGGGGACGTGGGGAAAGGTAATTGTCGGGCCCCAGCGTTTAAATGTCAACGTCTTGGTCTGTCTGTCTGCGCTTTATTTTAAACCGGGGCATGCGCGGGGTCGTGGGGCAGCCGAGAGCAAAGAGAACGTGAAACGCGCCGCTTGCAAACACCGAGCGGTCCCCGAGGCTCGCGCGCTGCGACCGGGCAGCTTCCTGCCGTCGTGACGCGCGACTTTTGCTGCTGCTGCTGCTATTTGTTTAAATCCCAACGACTGTCCGGCAGGACACCTCCTTCCCAATCAGTAAGAATTGACGCGAATCAGTAAGAAAGTGACCTGCGGACGGCGCTGGACCCCGTTAGCGCCTTTCTGCGGCCGCAGCCTGCGGGACGCGCTTGTCCCTCCCAAATCTTTCGGGATTTGTCGCTCGCGCCCTTCCTTTTTAGGTTGTTTTGATTTTATTTTTTCCCTCGTAGGGGACTGGCTGGATTTTCCTCCAGCTTCCTGCGACGGGAAGGGCCCGGCGACCCTGGGGCCGGCGCGCCCCGTCGGAGGAAGGTCGCCCGCGCGGCGGGGACACGCCGCGTCCTCGTCCCCGCGGCCCA